GAATCAATATGTGAGATTGAGGAATTTTCTGACACGCCTAAAGATAATCCTCCTATCGATAGTTCAACAGGTATGCCTATATTTAACATACCCGAAATTACCCCTAAATCAGAAAAAGATACAGCAGAAGCATTAACTACCGATCGCAATGGAAAAGGTAAGGGTACATCACCCACTCCGTCCATCACTAATATGACCCAAGATCTCTTCGATTCGATAATAGATCAACCAGAAAGTTCAGTTGCTTCGTCACCCAAGTCTACCAATATATCTTTGCCTCCCGAGATCGAACACATAGAAGTTATAGACGATAAACTCAAATCTCCAGAAATTATCGAGGAATCTGCGAAAAATGAGCCCGAGATATCTCCCGTCTTACCTGTAAGCAACGAATCCAAGTCCAACAACGAGACACCTCCCCAGCAGATATCATACTCACCGGGATATCAAACCAGGGAGCAACGGGAAAAGCACCTCAGAGAAACTGCGATTAAATATGGCGAGAACCCAGATAAGTTTATGACCATAATTGAAAAAGATAAGGATTTGGTACTAATATTCAAAGACAAAATGATATCAGATGCAGAAATAATTCAATTCGCAAAAGATACCGATGATGATCCGGATACATTAATGGATAAGGATATGGATAGGCAAGCAAGATTGATATGCATAGAGATTAAAATTCGAAAGCATGAGGATGACGGAGAATTTCGAGCAACCCCCTATGATGATGAGGAATGGAAAAAAAGTATATCGGTACTCCAGGAAAATGGGTATCTATAGTAAGATTACTATATATGCTGAGGAGTAAATAAGGTGGATTTTGTAGGTAGGAACTTTGGTATAGGGGGGCCTATTTTGCTCCTACATATGGGCGATATAAAAATTTCCAGATAAAAAATATTCCGCAAACATTATTCGTTATACCGATATACTAGGTGAGATTAGTATTATTAACTTAGCTTATTCGCATTTTGATAATATCGGTCTCTGGCTTGCTTCATAAACTGCCCATTGGGCTGATAGAGACATTTAATTACTGAGCGCTGTATTATTTTAGCTGAATCTATTCGTCTTCGATACCACGAACGAAATACCCGCTGAATAGTCAATACTACTTGTTTCTTGACGTGATCTTGAGTAATAAGTCTTTTTTGCATCATTCGATAATTTAATGAATGAAATCGACCAGAGTATTTTGGGCAGTACCCCGTAATTGATATTCCTCCGATAGATACTGACGAATATGGCACAATTCATCCCTTAGCTGATTTTTATCATCTGGCTTTGATCCTACCCCTTTCTACTTTGGCGATAAGAAGAGATCTATGTAGAAGATATCCGATTTCTGTAGGTACTGTCGTGAAAGGAGGAATGAGTCTATTCACTAAAGAAAAAAATGGAAAAACATCTTTAGAAAACTTGATCGGAATGGATTATTCTAGCTTATCTGTATTATTAGAAATGCGCTGGGAAGATAATGAAATACGGGGATGGAAGGATAATATACTTGCAAGATTTCTTCATCACCCGAATTTAATCCTGTCAAAATATAGACCGAATGCCTTATACGATGCATTCAGTAAAGCTGGTGTTCTAGGTCCAGAACATATACTCGTTATAGCTCGAACATTGCAATAAAAAATAGGGTCAAAGACCCATTATAAGGTAATAAAAATACAGTACCCAATCATCATAACCTGAGTCGTCACACTCAAGGTTAATTTTTTCGTTATATCCTACGTATTGCTAGATTTCAAATTGACAGATCTGACCCAAGGCATTGACGTGTACCATGTACCTGGTATATATCGATTATTTTTCCTAAGACCTCCTTAAGCAATGCTATATCCTCTTTAATGCCTGCTATATTTTGCGCAATCTTATTTCGTAGAGCTACGGATTCTAAAACCTTCGATTGATCTCGTGTCTTACTCGAGTCCATTTTCCAATAGAATTACATTAATCACGACCCATTCAATTTTTGGGCATAGCTATACTGACCCGAGATAAATAATTTCGATTTGAAAAAATATATTTCGTAGTGTATACAACCTAAAGAATTGATCATGGCCTACTCAAGATATTATAACATTCAACCATGTCAGCCATCGCAACTAAAATCGTCGAAAAATATAACCTTACTCCCGAGATGAGTGTAGTCGAGCTTAGTCAGTATACCTCAGAATTTCTTGAAAACCTCACAGACGATAGAAAACGGAATCAAGCTTGACGACGACTTCGGGATGGTTTTAAATTTAGCAGTGAGCAGGTAGGTGTATTGATACCTAATCAGAGAGGCGGAAAAAGTAAAACCATAAATATTGTTAAAGGTAATTGTAAAATAGCTATAACCTCGCCTCCGAAAAGTTTAGAAGAAGAGATTATCAGAGAAATAACTAAACGAATCTTACAGAATAGATATGACATTAGTGGGACCCAAGTGGACGATCTATTCTCTATCCAGAAAGACGGGGGTAGAGACGTAAATGTTGCAATTTCCAACAAACCCTCTAAAAGATTGAAGGAGGAAACTATTGGGGAGATGGCACAACGATTTTTGCAGGAAAAGCTTAGCGTTAGAGATGTAAGAGCTGAAGCTTATGCCTTAGCCCTATCAGCATCAGATGCCAATGCAGGTTTGTCACGTCTCTCCCGACTTCGAAGAGAATTAAGAAGTCTTAATACTTCACTTGAGATAATTGAGGCCACGAAATTTTCTGATATTACAAAATATGCTAATGAAATCCAGAATGATCAGCGGGAAAAAGTTAAACGAATTGATTATCCAGACCATTTTACATTAGAATCGGTTAAGGCGAGATTGGATACTTATGATATATCTACTCCACCCAATTATCAGACTCTTGCCGATGTCATGCTAATGCTTTGTATCCGTCCTGCTGAACTTACAACTTTACACATTACAGATGCTGGAGTAACAGGTTATGCAAAGAACAGGAGGCAACCGGATATTCCTAGAAAATTTAGATCTATGGAAAAGAATCAAGAACGAGCCAAAGAATTACTCACCTGAATACAAAATGCTATATCTTCTGGTCGAATTGGTAACCCAGGTATTCCTGGAACTAAATGGTTCAATAGATTCTTAAAAGAATATGATCTGGTTCCTAAATACTTACGAAAAATAGGAGCGGTTTACGGTGCAGTAGTACATAAAGCTGATAGCACAGCCTGTACTATAACAATCGCTGGAGAATGTCTAAGACACGACCCACATAATTTTAATTCTCCAGTACAAAACTATGTTGTAGTGAATTATCGGAAAAAAGGATAGACTCCAGAGCAAGCGAGACCATTCCATCTCTATGATGATAACTAATCACGCTTCTTTGCTTTGATACCTATTCACTGATCTCAATATCGAATTCAGAGTCGGACCCAGATTCGGATGAAGATGAAGAATAGTTTAAAAAAGTCTTATTAACTTTACATCGTCTTTTACCTCCACATGGTATCTTGTGTTTTTTAGTAATACCTGGGTATACGTGTTGCCCAAATCCCAAATCATTTGGGATTTGGGATGCCAAAATCCCAAATTACTAGTATTTGGGATT